TTGGCAGGTAGTATGGCAGGCCTCTGACTGGCTCGTGTTCCAAGGATCAAAGACCAGAGAAGAGCCGGGTACAGGCTACAGAATGAGCAAAATGCTAGAGAGCTTTTCCAGAGTCCATCTATCCTTCTGTTTTTCTTTCTCTCCTTTTTGATACAAGCTTCAGGCTCAAAGGAATGCCATTTCAACTCATTATCAGCCTCATAGCAGATCTCATCATGGGGAAGATTACATCGTAACTGCCAAACACTGAGAATCATGGCCCAGCCAACTTGACCATTAACCTTAACCACCACAATTATGTTCTATAACCTAGTTTGGGGAGTAGTCTGGGGTCTTAAATGCTATGAATGGCCTTCTAAGACAGAACTATCAATCTCCACTTGTGTAGAGCAAGAGAACAAAAGGAAAGCAAAGCCTCAAACAACTAGCATACAGATCAATCGTCTGCATGAAACATGGCCTCAGGCATTCGAAAATCAGAGGAATTTGATGTTGTCGGGCTCACACCAACCATTCTAAGGAGGGCCACACAGAAAGACCTGGTAAATTAGAGAAAATTCTGGGCTGGAGGAATCAATCGACTGGACTGGTTTCTACTAGAGGACTCCCTGAGACTACTGCCCTGAGCCACTCTTTAACCCGTGAACCAAAACTAACCCCTGGGGTCGCTGTGTGACTGAGTATCAGGTTGGCTAACAAAATAATGAATACCACTCTTACGTATGGCTCTCCTGTTTAAAAACTACTTATAACAGGGAAGACAGCAACAATTCTTTAAAACCAAGATGAGAATAGAAGGTAGCAGGGAAAGAGATTAATGGAAACAAAGCAGCCAGAACAGAAACAATGAGAATGCGCACACATTGTGTTTAGGCCCAATAGAAACCTTTTGTGTATTCTTATTTTCTTAGTATACCTTTCACTTCTCTGGACGTAAAGGATGAGTTTACTGCTGTTTTCACTTTGATTAAATAAACATACTAATAAAACATAACAATATAGATTTCATTAATAAATTCATCAGAGCAGAGGAAAAGATATCACAGGGGATTTCAAAAAGCTCATGGAAAATGAAATGAAAAGGTATTAGAAAAAAATTATAACAATACAAAAAAGAAGAATTTTCTCATAAATATTTTTAAAGCCCCTCATGCTAGTGTGGAATGAGGCAGATGGGGGGCAATCATAAGGAGTAAGATTAGTACTGAGTTATCAATATGAACCCTTATATACATAAGCATACATATAGACAGACCGATGTGGACTTAGCTACAGGTGCATATTTACCCTCCTCCGGTGAAAGTGCCTGGAAGGAATGAGCACACGTAGCACATACACAGGTTCCTAAGTCTCACTCCCCACTGAAGGGCAGCAGAGCGTCTTGGAGAAATAAAAAACGGCTTACTCCAGCACTGAGGTTGGAAGGGAACACTATGAATCTAAACTATCTCCTTGTGCTAGAAAGTAAGAAGCAGGTATGTAACAATAGGGGCATGTCAAAAGGGCACAGAGCCACCTCGAAGGACCACGACTGGCCAAATATAACACAATTGGTGCAGCAACATACATAAGATAAAGAATCACTTACAATCCATTAAGGAAAAAATAAAATGATGACTCCATGCTGATTGCGTTAGTCTGGGTAGACTAGAGAAACAAATTCATAAACACACATGTGTATAAAAGGGAGAGATTTATATACAAGAGGAATTGCGCATGGAGAAAACATCCCAACCCAGTCCAGTCCAAGGCCATAAGTCTGTTAGGCCATATGGGCGGTATCAATCTATAAAGTCCTCTTCAGACTCACAAAACACATGCAATGATGCACCCATGCAGAAGATCACAGGCCAGTGGGTAGAAAGTCTTTGGATCCAGTGTCATTGGAAACATGTCAGTGCTGGCAGGGGTCCCTCTGTGGCTTCTCCAGCTTCCGAGGTCTGGTTGCGTCCATGTGTCTTGTCTTCTGCAATGTCTCCTAGAAAGTAGTACAGAGAGAGTGTGTCTCTCCTACCTCCAAGAAGGAATTCCCAGATTTCCCAGAGTTCTCAGAAGGCCATGCCCACACAGAAGTCTCATTGGCTATCTCCAGATTGACAGCCTAGACTCCACCCCTACACTCTTAATCCTTAAATTGACACCAGATTAGGTGACTACCACACTGATCATAAGGAGTAAACAATAATGACATGAGGAAGAAAGGAGGGGACTTCCTTGCAATAAAATACAAAAAAGAAAACAACAAAACCGCCATTGCTACCCAAATGAATGAATTCTGACTCACAGCGTGCGTATAGGTCACAGTGTAGTAGAACCACTCTTTAGGGCTTCTGAAAATGTAGAATCTTTACATGGGGAGTCAAGACAGTCTCATCTTTCTTCCTTGGAAAGGCTAGTGGGACTGAACCATCCTCACGGTTATCAGCCCAATGCTTAACATGTTGTTGGTTGGTGGCATGGGGTTGGTTCTGCCTCGTAGCGGTCCCATGTTGAAGAAATACTGCCTCGTCCTGTACCATCTTCACAATTGCCATGTCTGAGCCCTCTGCTGCAGCCACTGTGTCAATCTGTCTCATTGAAGGTCTTCCTCTTTTTGCTGACCCATAATGTTTCTGGTTTCATCCAAGACGTTGACCCTTAGCTTTTGACTCTCTACTTTACCAAACATAATGTTTATATGTTTGTTGTCCAAGGCTGGGCCCTCTTAGTAAAAGTAAGCATCTTTTTCAGAAGAAGAAATGTTTACGGTTATGGAAAAACTGAGGGAATGGTAGAGAGATCTGTAGACATAAGGACACTCACCTAGAATTTACATAAGGCCTGGGCTTTAGCAGTAAGTCTTCAAAGAACATTTATACGGCTTGAAATCTACAGGATCTCATAAATGCTAAAATGTTATGTTGCTCATAATCTGAGTTTCTATCATTTAAAAAATAGTGTTGTTAGGTGCCATCAAGTTGGTTCTTGTTCATAGGCACCCTCTCTCTGTACAACAGAGCAAAACACCACCCAGTTCTTTGTCATCTTCACAGTTGTTCTTATGTTTCAGCCCATTGCTGCAGCCACTGTGCAAATCCAACTGAAGAGACTTCCTCTTTTTCACGGTCCTTCTACTGTAACAAGCATGGCGTCCTTTTCCAGGGATTGGTCTCTTCTGGCAACATGTCCAAATTCTGTGAGATGAAGTCTCACCATCCTTGCTGCTAAGGAGGATGCTGGTTGTATTTCTTCCAAGACAGATTTGTTTGTTTACTGGCAATTCATAGTACTGTCAATATGCACCAGAACTATTCACTCAAGTGCATCCGTTCTGCTGAAAAACATGATATGGGTATGCACCATTTTACTGGCCGGTGACAGATACATTGCTTATGAAGGCCTAGTTCTACACAGAAGTTTCTAAGTGACCCAAGCAGTTTGTGCTTAACTATTTAAACTAAAAGTTGGCACTTCAAACCCACCCAGAGGCATGACAGAAGAAAGACTTGGCAACCCAGTGCCATAAAGATTAAACAAACAAAACCCCAAAACATTTGGGATTGACATGTGTGGATTCCAACTCATAGGACCCCATTTGATAGAGTGTAACTCTGCCATAGGGTTTCTAAGACTGTGATCTTGACAGGAGCCGGTAGCCGGCCACACCCAGCTGCTGGGATCCAACCTCCGATCTTGTCAGTCGTTTTCCTAGCAGCCTAGCGCTTAACCACGGCACCACCAGGGTTCCTTTCAATAAAATTACAGCCAAGAAAACCCTATGGAAGAGTTCTACTTTGTAATATATGGGGTCACCATGAGTCTGAATAAATTCAATGAATTCCAATGGCAAGGAGTTTTGTTTTGTTTTTAAAAAAGAATGGTCCCAAGCCAGAGAAATTAAACAAAATCCCTATGTCACTCTCACTCTCCAGGTTGCTCTTGAACAAAGAAGCAGTGAGGGGGGTGGGGGGTGAGAATGTGGGGAAAAGATGGGGCAGTCTATTTCCACCGGGATTTACAGCCTTAGGAAACTTATCTGTCAGTTTCAGATAAGTTCAGCAACCAAATGGCAATGGGTTTGGGGGCAGACATTAGTTAGGGATCACTGGTGGCCTAAAGTTTACAAGTTGGGCTGCTACCAGCGAGGTCAGCAGTTTGAAACCACCAACCCTTCCATGGGAGAAAGATTGGGCTTTCTACTCCTGTTAGGAGTTTCAGGCTCCGAAACTCACAGGGGCAGTGCTACTCTGCCCTATTGGGTCACTGAGAGTCACCATGGCCTCCATGGCAGTGAGTTTGATAAGCTTTACAGGGTCACTGTGAGGTGGAATCGACTCAATTGCAGTGAATTTGGTTTAGCTTTTGGTAGTGCATTAAGAATTGGGCTGCTAAACTCCAGGTCAGCAGTTCGAAAACACCAGCCACTCCATAGGAGAAAAGTAGGGCTTTTAACTCCTATTAAGAGTTACATTCTGGGAGACTCACAGGGGCAATTTTACTCTGCCAATCGGGTTGCTATGAGTCAGCAGAGTTGATTGCTACGAGTTTGATAAAGTTTTAATAGGGTCGCTGTGAGATGGAATCCACTCAATTGCAGTGTGTTTTGCTTTTTGCTTTTATTTTTGTTAGTGTGTTAAGAATGGGGTTGCTAACCTCAAGGTCAACAGTTCAAACCCATTGGCCACTCAGCAGGGGCTATTTAAGGCTTTCCACTCCCGTAATGACTGGCAGTCTCTGAAACCCACGGGACAGACCTGTTTTGTTCTGCAGGATCGCTGGAGTGAGAATTGGCTGGATGGCAGTGAGTTGTGTTGACTACTAACCAAAACGACAGCATTTACAGACTCACCGCCTCGGAAACCCCGTGTCGGTTCGCTCTAAGTCCGATAAGAGCTGATGGCCGCGAGTTTCGTTCGGGTTTACGAGTTGGAAAGGCACTCCATGGAATGGGGCCCCGCAGTCTCTCTCCGACGCGCCGGGAGCACCTTCACAACATCCACGCCGCATATACGCATGCGCAGTCGTCCTGCGCTCAGCCCCGCCTCCGGAGGGACGCCCCGCCCACAATCGCCAACAGGCTGAGCCTCCTCGGAGCTGCGCAGGCGCAGTACGGACGCGTCCTCGCGCGCCGCCTCTTCCTCTTAATTCATGCAAGGGGCGGTTAAGCCCGGCCGACGCGGACGCGGACGCGGCCGGGGTCGTGGAACCCGGGGCGAAGGTCAGCAGCACGGAGGTGCAGGGCGTGGCCGAGGGCCCCGGGCGGGCGGCGGCCGGCAGCGCCTGCCCCGGCGCTCCCGCGGCTCCCGGCCCTGCTCCGGCTCCGGCGCCGCCGCTGACCCTGCTGGTGATGCATCCCTGCGGCGGGCAGGAGGAGACCGCGGCCGTGCTGCGGCCGGCGGCGGGCCACTCCGTCAGGTACCTGTGTGACCTGGCGGGGGACGGCGAGGAGGAGGCGGGGGACGACGAGGCCGAGGCCGACCTGCTGGACACTTCGGACCCGCCGGGCGGCGGCGAGAGCGCCGCCAGCCTGGAGGACCTGGAGGACGAGGACCCGCAGTCCGGCGGCGAGGGCAGCAGCGGGGGCGGGGCCCGGCGGCGGGGCGGCGGCGCGAGCAAGACGTGCACCTACGAGGGCTGCCGCGAGACCACCAACCAGGTGGCGAAGCAGCGCAAGCCGTGGATGTGCAAGAAGCACCGCAACAAGATGTACAAGGACAAGTACAAGAAGAAGAAAAGCGACCAGGCCTTGAACTGCGGCGGGACCCCCGCCAGCGCCAGCGCGGGAAACGTGAAGCTGGAGGTACGGGGGCGTGGGGCGTGCAGGAAGAAACCCGAATCCCCCTGCAACTCCCCCACCCTCCCCAACCACAAGGGCAAACAGCCCCGCTAGCCACAAGGTCAGGGGTTCAAACCCACCAGCTCCTCTGTGGGTGAAAGATGAGGCTGTCCGCGCCAGTAAACCCGGAAAAATTCACAGCCTCATAAACCCCCAAGGGGCAGTTCTTCCCCCGCTCTACAGGGTCGCCAAGAGTCAATCCCCTCCATGGCAGTGAGTTTGGTCTTTTGACCAGTTTGTGAAAAACATCCCATTGTCCCTAATTCTGTTTTTCCATGAATGCTTTGCAGCCCTCTCTTAACCCCGTTTCCCCGAAAATAAGACAGTGTCATATTAATTTTTGTTCCCAAAGATGTGTTAGGTCTTATTTTCAGGGGATATCGTATTTTTCCATGAAGAAGAATACGGTACATATTTATTGTTGAACAAAAAAAAGGAAATTTATTACCTGTCTACGGTATGGTAGTAGTCATCACAAACCAGCATAACCAGACAAACTGTGAATCCTACAGTATCAAGAATTTCTTCTTACTACCATTATTTCCATGTATAACTATCTATGGTACATTTACTCACACTTCCTGTCTGCTATGGCTGCGCTGCAGCCAACAGTGAGCTGGGCTGCTGTGCCTGCTGCAAGGGTCCAGAGTTGAGTTATGGTAGCTGGGGGGGCCTTATTATCGGGGAGGTCTTATTTTCGGGGGATGCCTTATATTTCAGTGAGGCAAAACTATAAGTAGGTCTTATTTTCTGGGAATGTCTTACTTTCGGGGAGACATGGTCCTAATAGGAGGAGATACTCCAAAAGACTTTCTTGAAGAAACACAATTACGTACGCCAGAAAGGTTGGCTAGCCACTCATGCTGAATCACTAAATTCCCATGTGTTAAGGTGTAAATGGATTCTCACTGTTCTGCAGATGCACAGGTATTGTATTTTACATTGTAGAAATCAAGGCACAAATCAAATTCCTAGAGCTTCATTCTTTCCCGCCATCCTATCCTGTTTTTCTGGAATTCTGATAACTCACTGGCACTGAGCTGATTCTGACTCATACTGACCCCTATAAGACAGAGTAGAACTGCCCGTGTGGGGTCTTGAGGCAATAACTTGATGGGAGTAGAAAGCCTCACCTTTCTCCCATGAAATGGAGAACAGAGGATGAGTAAACTCATCTATAGTATTATATTTTAGTCAGAATATTTGGTCATTATTATGGTTTTATGGAAGTAGCATGATTTAATTAAGTGATTTATAAGGGAAATTATACAAATATAAGATTCAGATAATTTGGGGTCCATATTTGGAAGTGTTGCTGATATTGCTTGGGTAGTGATTTCTCGGGGTAATTGTCTAATTTTAAGACTTACCTATCTGTATCAATAGCTGAAGATTATTTATACTGGTGATTTCTAGTCCTTTCACCTCTTAATAGCCTGTTTGTCAATTTCTCTTTATGGCTTTACAGTTTTAAAAAATTGCCTTTGAAATTGCTCTGTTAAACCATCATTTACTTCCCCCTTATTTCCTGTTAATTGGGCAAAACCATTGTCAATTAAAGTGTTGTTAGCAAGATGGGAGTTACCACTAAGTTCATATGGTACAGGTACAAAAAAACTAAATCACTGCTGTCAAGTTGATTCATCTTAGACCCTATAGAGCAGAGTAGAAATGTCCCTGTATGGGGACATAATTTCTAAAACTGCTGTATGGGACCAGAAAGCCTTATCTTTCACCAGTAGAGCAGCTAGTGGTTTCGAACTGCTGAATAACTACACTACCAGATAGATTTCTTTTCTTTTGTCTGGATAGCTTTATATGAAGACGGGGTTCGATTTCCACTTGATATGTTTGTAAAATTGAAAACACTTCACAGGTAACTATTTGCTCACCCCTCTCCCAGCCTCTGTTACGCTATTATTACTTCTTTCATCAAAAGACTGGAGAGAACTGGCTTGAAAGCCCGAGACTTGTGCTTCCACAAAGGAAGAGGGACGGGGAGCATCACTGCCAGCATCTTTCCTCGCCCTGGCTTTCCCGAAGTCCCATTTATGGGACCAGGCAAGGAGGAGGCAGAGGAGCAAAGACCTAGTCATTACGTCATTGAAATGCTTATAACTGTGGATTGCTACAGTATGTTAACTGTTCACCCATTGTGTCTTTATTATTACCCTAGGAAAGCGCAGATAGTTTACTCTCCATTGTTAAACAAAGAACAGGATCTTTTGGGGATCGCCCTGCAAGGCCTACTCTTTTAGAACAAGTATTAAATCAAAAAAGACTGGTAAGTATATGTAAAGTTGTACAGGGAACTGTTTAGATCTTTGAGACTTTAAAACTTCTTAAACTGGTCATCAGAGTTGAGTGGTACTTCTTTGCTTAATGCCTACTGGAGTCTCATAATCTCTCAAGACTATAGGAACAGGCACTCGTAATGTGATTTATTGGCTACCCTTTGACCACCTGAACAAGATGGTATTTTAAAACACTTTACTTGTACTGAATTTGAGATTGGTTGAATAATTCTTGGGGTTATTCAATGCCAGTAATTGAAAGTATTGTTTTCAATTGCTCTTTTAAATAGCCATGTACTCCCTCCTTTTTTCTGTTAATTGCGCAGATTTAATAAGGATCAGTATAATTTTGATAGCCATCAGAGCTCAATCAGGAAAATAAAGATTATTCAATAGTACTGGAGTTACTTAATAAATGACTGAATAATCATTTGAGGTAAGAAAAAGAATTCATTATGTCATACATCATAATAAATTCTTAATAAATTAAAAGTTTGGGTTTCTTTATAAAAGAACAAGGTAGAATATTTTAAATACTTTAATATATATTTATATATCCCCAAACTATGAAATGAGAGTGTTCTGACTTAAAAAAAAATAGGCAGAATCACAATGGAGAGACTACAAATTTGATTACATAAAATGAACAATACATGTCAAAATTGGTGGCACAAATAAAAATGCAAAATAGAATAGGAAAAGAATTTGAAACAAATATAAATAACTCTGGCTAATATGGTTGATGTTTTATATTAAATATATATATAAATTGGTAAGGGACATTGTTGACTTCCAAACATTGCAAAACATAGATATAAGGGAAATAAAAGAAATCCTACAATTTACTAATACGGGAAATATTCAGTATTGCCACAATCACACAGTAAAATGACAGTAAGTGAAGATTAGTTGATAAAGGACCCTGATGTGGAGGGTCCATGGAAATGGACACT